TCTGTGATTCATCTCTTAGCTATAAACCCAGAACGAGGTAAACGCAGTTACTGGTGGTCAGATAGCAGAATTTTTGCAGTACAAACTCAACAATATCCGTCTTGGTACGCTTCCATCAGCAAAGGCTGGCCAAACACAAATATGCGCACAAAGTATGTCAGGGCGGAGCTGGGACTAGAGCACTGGCTTCATTATCAGAACACACTGAGAATGATCATCTCATGCAAACCAGTACTGAATTTAAATTTATGCGGTTTCTTTGCTTGCCCTAGATCCATTCAACCTACTACACCAGAAATGATTGGTTAGGTATGCAGCAACAGACATGAACAAAGGAAGTTAGGTCGAAAATACATGGCAAAATTTTCAAGTATTATTATGTTTATTTTGCTAATAGCTGCGGCCTCGGTTTTGAATGAGCGATTTGTCAAAGCAGTGTGCATCAAAAAGTAAGAAGTGTGTTAGAATGTAAAAGATAAATGAAGCGGACAACTTAATGATACTCACGCAAGGTTGAAGGAACACAGGCAGGCGCCATTGCAACAAAAAAACCCAACTGAACAATTGTGCGAACCTACGTGGATGAGAGAAGCTTAAAAACTGGGAAAAGTGGAGAAATTGCCAGCCAATTTAAATATAACCTGTTGTAGTTTTTCGAGTTCGAATTGCAGTATCGGAACGTTTTCAGCGATTTGTCCTAATTCGGATAGTCTCTCAAGGAAAGCTTCACGTTCTTTTTGATGCCGTTCCGTTGCTTGCGCTGCTTCCTTGTCAGCTTCCTCCAGTTGGTGAGTTAACGAATCCACCAACAGATTTTTTGAAAGCAAATCCTTTTCTATTTCTTGAAACCGTTCCAACATGTCACTTTTTTTGGATGAAATTTCTTCTTCCAGCTCCTGCAGTGAATCAAAATTCAACAGCCTTGTTATCACATTATAAAAGTTGGGCCATTCAAATGAACTCAGACCGGCAGCTTAATTACTTCAGAACAAAATGAACCAGAGCCAACCCCTTACTTTCGACGTTCTTACGGCTGAAACTACTTTTTCCTTTAGAATTAATTTGAAAAACTTTTCTTCAGTGCTTTTTTCATATGTACCTGACACAATTTGTTATATTCTATACCTTTAATTTGTCCGCCAGACTGATAAAATGCACTTCGTTTTTGCGCAAAGCTTCTTCCGTGAGGTCGGTTTGGACACGCTTTGAGACGTTAACGACATAACGTGGGTCCGAGAACCCGTAACGCCAATCGTCCATCGACTCGTCCTTTATAACCAAATGGTTTTCTAGGATAACATTGCGATATGCTTGATGACGCTCTTCTAGGTAACAAATTGCTTTCGTTTTCGTTGCCACCTCACGCTGCAACCAAAAATGCATGTGGCCGTATAAATCATAAGGATCACTCGGAAGAGAAGCGTATCACTAGGTATCACAAGAATCACTAGGTACGTGTACAAAAGAGAAGTGTACATGAGCGTATGAGGTACACATTAACTCCAATTCGTACCTAGCTCATTGGAAACCTTCAAGGTAGCCGTTTTTCTCTGTATGCAGCATTAACTGATACCGAAATCAAGCAATCGTCAGTAAAGCAAGCATCATTTTTCCCGCAAGATTTTTTTTT